AAATGATTGAGAATTTCGGGAATATTGAAGAACCGAAAGAACTTATGGTCATTTTGTGTATTCTCTGGTAGTTTAAGAAAATGACTTTTCTGGTTATACATGTTTCGTAGAAACGAACAAGTTTGATAACAATCCTTTTTTGGACAAGTTGAAGAACCTTATCGATAAAGAAAAACTTGGATACAAAGAAAAGAAGTGTATTTATTTAACATGTAAAAATCCTTTATTCTCTTTTAACCTATCAATTAACGTTGTATTGTGTATAAACGGGTGTGGCAAATGGGAGTTTAAGAAGCTACACCATACAAACAAATCGTAAAAAATTAATTAAAATTTTAAATTTAAGTACAGAATTTTTGCTGTTTTAAAACATTTCTTATTCTAAAAACGTTTGTGTTAATAAAATATAAGCAGTTCGTACGTTGGCTTCTACTAAATGTAACTCTTCACTACACGTCGCGGTGTATATACAATCAAATCTTCCTATACAGCTCCATTCCCATACAACGCCAACTCACAAGCAGATCTTCCTCCTAAATATTAAATAGATAATTCTTCGATCTTTATAAATTACTAAATGCGCGATTTTGTGTTGCAAAAGGCATTATCAACACCAGAAAATCACGACTTTTTAACCCTTAAACTTCGATTTCGGTGGCAAATATCGAGGATTGAGGCCGTATATTCAATGGATTCTCGATGTAATGTCCTCGTGTCCTTGCTATTCTTTGTGTATTGGTTATAGGGAATGGTTTAGCCCAATCCTCCGAGAAGCTTGGACGATTTATAAAAGTATATTTATAAAAATGGCTATATTACACGGGTATAATAAATCACAACTGTAAATATAATAAAGTTCTTAATTATCTGACGTGTAATGAAGTTATAACGCTGCAAGATCCATTATGTTAAATCAATAGGGTCGAACTTACGATGGGAAAACAGCTACACGTGACTATAAAGATAAATAATGTAAGTAACGTCTAGTTGATATATTTATACTGTTAATAGGTAGACTGTTATGTGTAATATTTTCAAAGATATACAGTTAATGATTCTATTTATGAACTGATACGATTAGTTTGTAATATAACTATCATTCATAGATTTTTACGAGGTATATTTTTATTATTATAATTTTTTTTGTTATGTCTTTGTTTAGTATGACCTTTCGTTGTTCGAATGGCAACTGCCAGGTTATGACATATCTGGTGACACTGAGTCGCGATTTTAATAGTCATTTTCCCTCCGTCCTAACCGTAAATAGGTCTTAACGTGTTTTTTATACATGAGCGGTCTTAATTATACATTGTTTATCAAGGTCTACTGCAAAATTTTGTGTAAAAATTATAATAATTTTGTATTTTATAAATGTAAGCTTTAAAGTTTTTTGTCGAATTCGTAACTTCTTTAAAGTAGTGTGTAAAAAAAAGTATGTTTTTAAGGATGAAAAAAAGCTAGGATTTTTACACTTTCTGACGATGAAAAATGCATTTTTTACACTTTATAAAGAGGAAAAATTCATTTTAACACGTTCTGAGGACGAAAAAAAATGCATTTTTACATTTTCTGATGAGGAAAAAATGCATTTTTACATTTTCTGATGAGGAAAAATGCATTTTTACACTTTCTAAAGAGGAAAAAAATATATTTTTATACTTTGTAAGAATAGAAAATGCATTTCTACACTTTCTGAAAATGAAAAGATGCATTTTAATTCATACTAAAAATGGAACAAAAGTGTATTTTTACAAATTCCGAGAAAAAAAATCTTTAAAGTCAAAATAATCTATAGTTTTAAGTTAATAGATTTATAATAAATCAACATTAAAAAAATCAATTTAATAATTTCTAGCAAAAATAAAAGAAAACTCTGTTTTTTTTCTGTTTTTTTCTTGCTGCCATTTTCCTCCGGGATATAAATTTTGTAGAAGACAAAATTGCACTTCCTTATTCTTTCTTTAATCATCTTTAGAGTAATAAACTATGTATAATGTTTACACGGCTTCAATTTTGGAAACAGATATGAAGTTTTTATAGATTCCATTACCATATCATCTGAATGCTCTCGTTCTGGATGACTTTATAAATCTTCTGTTGCTTCGTGAGCAGCTAATGACATTCATAATTAATGAGAGAAACCTTCTTCTTTTTACTATATATGTAAGTAATCTTACGAAAAATTAAAATAACTTGTTACATTAACAATTCTTTGAATGTACGGAACAAATTTTTAAGATGGATAAATGAAGAAAAATACGCTGAAAAATTAATTAAAAGGTAAAAGAATACGTAAATTATTATACAGATTAAAATTATTTCTTATTTATTATTTCTTACGTCAGATAAGAACACGTGAATGGATACAACTGCCTGTTTAATGTAAGAAAACCTCTTAATTCTCTCGTTCTGCTTGACTAAAATCCATCTGTCGCTTGGTGAATAAATCAATTATATTTCAAATTAACTGGTTCATATAAACAATTTTTTATTTAAATTATAATTACACTAAGGTCAAATTTCGATATAACGCCCGTCTATGTAGCGTCACCCTTATATAGCGCCAATCAATGCTAGCAAATGGGATTTTCCACATATCTCTGAATTACCCCCGAAAAAACCATTTTTATCACCAAATCACTCTTCAAACTTATGTATTAATTTCATTATTTTAGATACATTTTATTGTTTCGCATTCTTCGATTTAGTGTCAATGGTTGTATTTTATTGTTTTTTGCAAATTATAATAATTCTCTTAATTATTTTACACGTAAAATTAGTATAGAAGCTTATAAATTTACACAACGTAACTGTTTAACAAAGTATTATATTGTTAAGCAAATGTGCAATTCTCTAACTAATCCAATTGGAATATTGATAAGGCTTTTGCACATAATCAAGATGTGTCCTGCAGTTACAGCATCAGATACGGGGGAAGCTTGTTTCACGCAATTACCACATAACACACACAAGGAGATTTCTACCCAACCTCATACTCCGTCATCTGGTTAATGCGATTGACAAAACCTATTTTTCGATTGGGAAGACCTCCAGAGAATCCAAATGTCATAATACTATTTGAAAATTTGATAGGGATATCTCGCACGGAGATAAAATCACCAATTCCTCTCTAAAATTGAGCTTAAAACATTATATTTTCCCATTATAATCGCTTCTTACACCCCACCCCTAAACGGGCGCTTTGTAAATTTAATATTATTTAGCTTGAAATTTTACAAATAAACTCGTTTATAAAAATCATTTTAAAATGAAAAACAAACAACTAAAATATTATTTTATTTATTTATTAAATCTTTTCGTGGGCCTCAGAAATCTTTTAGGGTTTTTTCCCTCTTAAGCAGATTATAAAATACAGCATTGTTCGAGGGTGTAAGGTTGCATTGAGGCTCCAAGGTATAAGAGGCCTTTCTTGTTATCTAATAATAATATATTTAAAGCGTGAGGCCCTAAACCCTGATAGAATGAGGCCTTAAGGCCAATATTGATATCAACAGAATATTTATTTGATGAATGGACAATATTTTCTTACATAAAAAGTCTATTAGTGTTCATTTTTACATTGAAACTAATGAATGATTAGAAATATTCTTGAAGAAACGAACAAAAATTAGAGAGTGATATCTTGATATTTCTTTGAAATGTAAAGCTTTTTCTGAATGGTTATCTTTAAGTCGTGTCTTGTGTCATCTATTCGTCACCGACACGTGACGTGCAGGCAAAGGATGCTGCAAGATATCGACTGACAGCTTCTGATTGCCTTGGCAGTGTCCTTCCTCATCTTTCTTTTATATTGATGTCACTATTAGCATTTCGGTTGCGAAACTTTTCTACTTCTTTATTTATCAAAAAAGCATTAGTTTTTAGATTGCTTAAAGCTTAAAGATTGATCAATTTTTATAGTTTGTTCTAAAAACCGAAAATCCTTCAAAAATCCTGAAGTCCTTCAAACGTATCCTGAAGATCCTCGTATTGCTCCACGCCATCAAACGTCTTATCAATTACTTTTATTAAATCTAAACATTTTTAATGATTAAAAAGCTTATTTTTTCATATATTTTATACAAAATAAAGAATTTTTTTTTATTAATTTATAGAGTATTTAATATAAAATGTATTATATATATTTTTTATAGAAGGAAAAAAGGATTTGTTACCTAAGTCTCATTCATTTGTACTAATTTTAAAATCCTTCACTTCGAACTAATTAAGTTTAAAAGAGATTTATTAATGCCTTACCGTGACAAAAGACTTAAGATTTCTAATTATAATATAACAGAAAAGAGGAAATTACATGATCAAAGAGCATTTTGGAACCAATCCAAAATATAATTTTGAGAATAATTTCGGTTTTGATGGATTTATTTGCCATAAAAAGAGCGAAGAATTGATAATGGAGCGGGTGATTACGGCGAGAATAGGGTAGAATTTAAGCTTATGGAGGCCCCAAATTATATAAGAGGACCTAAATAGTAGCAGATTTAAAAGATTAATTAATAAAACTGTTTTATTTACCGTAAATGGAGTGTAAAGAAGAGATTGAAAATTACATTAATTTAAAAATAAATAAATAATTTTTTAATAAATTCTTTTGGTATTCATGTAATATTTTCAATTGGAATAAAATATAATTCTTACGCATAATTTGCTTTAATATCAATAAAAAAAAAAGAGGAATGTTTACAAAAATAATATCAAAAGAATTTCTTAAACATTCGTTAAATTATACTTTTAATCGTAGTTTAAGCAAGAATTTCAAATANGTATTTAAAGAAGTACAACAAAAATAGTTTTTAACACCAAATGTTTTGCAGGCATCTGAAAAAAAATATATATTTATCATTTAATTTCTGTATCACATCAATACTTTTGACAAGATAGTACAGTAAAACCTCATTTTCAAACATAATTCATTCCTAAAACTTGTTCTAAAACCAAAACAAATTTTCCCATAAGTGTTATTAAATAATCTCGATTAATTCTTAAATTTCTTGCCTTCTTTTCCACATCAAATATTTATTCCGCATTATATTTTTATAAATGTTCATGGATGATGACTTTGATAATTTTAATTCCTGTTCCTCTTTCTGTTTAAAATATTCCATTTTTCTTTGAGGATTAATTCCGTGGAATTTACTAAAATCTATAAAGAAAAACACTTATATGTAAATTTTAAATGAGAAAATGTGTTTTTTGCATACTTTGGGGGTAGAAATGTGTATTTTTTCAAATTATGAGGATAGAAAAGTGTATTTTTACATATTATGAGGGTAGAAAAGTGTATTTTTACATATTATGAGGGTAGAAAAGTGTATTTTTACAGATTATGAGGGTAGAAAAGTGTATTTTTACAGATTATGAGGGTAGAAAAGTGTATTTTTACATATTATGAGGGTAGAAAAATGTATTTTTACAGATTATGAGGGTAGAAAAGTGTATTTTTTGCACATTCTGAGGATATACAAGTGTATTTTTACACACTCTGAGGATAAAAAAAGTGTTTTACACGTTCGAATCAATTAATAATCGATATTTTTATGACTTTAAATCAATTACTTCGATCGATCAAGCTTCTCTTCCATTCGTCATCCAATTGCATTTGAGTAGTGTTGATATAGATATACATATAGCATACAGGACTGTGTTTCAAAGGTATCACTTTGTGAAATTCTCCAACTGGCATCTGAAAAAAAGAGAGAATTATTTATTTATTTACATCACGGATTTTAAATGCAGAAAAAAAATGACTGAAAAGGAAAAAAATTCGAACAATAATATATCGTACTTGTAATATATCTGATTCAGTAAGATGGACTTTGTTTCCATTTGGGAATTCCACAGCTACTTCACCTTTAAGAATTTGTAGAGTTGTATTACCTAAATCTTCTTCCACGTAATTTATTAAATAGAAACCTTAAAAAATATATTCAAAAAATTATGTTTACAACAGAATTTCAATTGCGTTTTTATTTATTTATTTATTTAGAGAACGTAGGGAGGAAAAAATCGTTTATATTGTGATCTTGCCTGGAAAATCTGCCACAAAAACTACATCCAAATATTCAGATTGATCGAATAGATGATTTTCCGTTTCAATTAATTTATTTCTCCAGTCGGAAAGCTCAGTTAAGAGTGGAAGAACCCAAGTAACTTCACGAAAAGGGGACCAATCGGCTCTCAAAATATCGACCGTTGGATCGTATATCCTAAAAGAAAAAAAAAATAACAGAAAAAATAATAATAAAATGTATTTTTTTTCGGTGTTTTATGGGTGGCAATTCGCTAATAAATCACACCTCTGAGTAAATCTTCCATTCAGAGACATCCAAACATCGATATACATCTCGATATCCGAGATGTTGTACAATTGATGTATGCGTTGTTGTATGCAATTAGCAAATTGCTTGACCATGTCCGCGTGTCTCGGCCATCTCCAGCTGTCGGTCCAGGCCTGAAAGAATATAATAAATACAGAAATAACCAGCCACGTAGCACCATCTCACGTTCGAAAAACGTACTAGTAAATGTCTAACCTCCGGATCGATGTACAGATAATCATTTGTTTTCCTATTGATTACTGTTATCTTCGTATGGACGAATTTCCAATTATGTATCATCATATCCCAGGAGTAACCGTAAAGGCCTTGAGTCCACGTGTTATATCCTTTAGTTAACCAATGGGAATATGGTAAAAATCCTTGAATTAGAAAAAATAAGCAAACTCCGCCAGTCACTATCTTATGCTGAAATTTTATTTTGAAATTTTCCTTCTTCTTTGCGCATTTTTTTGGTGTTTTCTGTAAAAGAAAAAAAAATATGGCGCAGATTTTACGCGGAAATGGATTAGTGTAGGGAATTTTACGCTCTTCCTACCTCATTTATAGCATAGATGCAGTTTTGGTTGTAATTTGGGAGTTGTTTATGTAGTGTTATATACTTAAACCATTGGGGCATTTTATCCAAAAATGTTTTCGGCCAATCACACGGATAGAAAATGGGTATGGAAGCGATCATCATGTAAGGAAACATTCCTAGAAATTACATGTAATTACGTTTTACGACGTCGTTTCGGTACATAAAATTATATTTTTTATTATGAAATTTTATGTTTAACGATTATAATTACCTATTTGAAAGATCTGCGAGTTCATTAAATTAAAAGTAAGACAGAAAATCAGTCCTAAAGGACGGCTTTGATCGAAGAAAAGAAAAAATCCAATAGTAAGATCAAATATAAATCCTCCCCAATGTACAATAAATTTATCGATTTGATCTTCTGTTAAAACAAATCTTGAAAATAAATAAAATAAAATAAAATATTGGATTTTTTAAAATATTTTTTTTACATGAAAATAATTGGTTTAAATATGTTTTAATGCAATTATATATAAAATTTACATCATTCTTAAGGTTTATGTCATTAAAAAAACTAATATTTTAGGTTATAAGAAGTAATAAATTTATAAATTTTCTTACTTGAATACATTAAATACCCAATGGGTGGATAAATAAGGCATAGAGTGGCCTTGGACCCAATCTTTATCCATTTTTTTCAATCCAGCGATAAAATATACCAAAAAAATCTATGAAATATTTAAAATATTTAGTGAATTTTATTACAAAAATATCGAATTATTAAAATTCAAGGAGACAAAATTCTAATTTTTCGCAGATGTTAAGGCTAAATGTCGTGATTCGTTTATAATTAATCATTCGCACGTAATCTTTACAACGTGAATTTTAAGAAAAATTACACAATTTTAATTTCAAAATACATAAGAAAGTTTCTTACCGACCATTTTTCCTGTTAATTAATTATAATTATAGCCCTACCTGCCCTCTTAGAAGTGTGTAATTCCATAATGGGACGTGAGTATGATTATGTTTAAGGTTCCACCAACCGTCAAAACTCCTAAGGAAAAAAATTATTATGTAATTACGAATTATCTTGCTATATTTTTTTTTTAAATAAATAATATATAATTATTCACCAGCATTTGTTAGCATCGCTAAGAAATAAAAGAAATCCTAACCATCCGTAGAGATACGAATGATTATTCCATCGAGTCTTATCCAAGAGGAATAAATACCAGTAAGGTATCAAAAATAGAAGGCAACTTAATTTATAGAAGGCTCCAATCATAATCCCAAATGCTCCTAAGTAAAGAAAGAAGAATTTTAATTAAAATCTCATCCAGTAAAATGTAAGTATAACTAATTGTTGCCTGTGAAACTTGGATTTAGTAAAGAGCACAACACCAGGAATGACGATGAGTGTAGCTTGCTTCAGGCAGAAATCGAACCCCAAATCTTTCCGATAGAAGCATTACTCGCTTCAATTTCGTACCCTCGAGGCAACAGAATTATTAATAAACTTTACTTCGTATAAATATTTTGATAAATGGAAATATATTATATGCCATTTTAGACAGTATTTAGGTGCCCATTTACCTGTTAGCATGAGTAAATAGACCATGCACATCCATTTTAATGGTAAAGGAGAGATCGAATCGAACATTGGAAATCGACATTTCAATGGATCACCCCATCTCGAATCTGCAATGGACAAACCTCGTTCGTCTGGAATGTCTAAAATCATTACGATTCCTGAAATATTTACAATAATTTATTATAAAATTCCACTTTGATATAATTATATACAATTTAAGTCTATTATTAAGTACCATTTAAACTATTTTTTAATATAAATTACATTAGTTAAAACTAATTAAAAAAAATTACTACAAGTTTAATTTAAAGAGAGAATCTGTAATTTATTTTTATACGGTTTAAATTAAATTAGATTTAATAAATTAGCTTATAAATTTATTTTTTTTTCTAAATTAACACAAATCTATAGACTTTTCTATGGTAATATTATCATATAAATTATAAATAAAGATAAATTGCTATAGGCCTATATATATATTTTTCCTTTTAAGATTAAGTTGTATCATATGAAGGTGCCACCACCTAGATGAAGTCAAAGATTTCCGTGTTCAGTAGAGAAGTTGCATTTATCCATATTACATAGCCCTATAGGATAGACGGTTGCATTACGCGAGATTAAATTCAATAACAAACATGCCAAATTCAATAATGCTACTCTTAAAAAAATAGCAACTTCCTGAATGTTTCTGTATGAATTATCATCCGAAGATATGGACGTTACTTAGAATTAAGTGCCTTTTTTTTTATGAGAAAATATAAGAAAGAAGGAAGGAAAAAACATTCGTTACTATTTACCATTATATATTTCTTCGTTATTCTTTAAAAAATTATTTTTTAAGTTTATTTTATTTCCAATTTTTTTCAGACAATTTCAAACTGTTACAGAGTTTTTTACTATAGGATGAACCAAAAGTCGGTTAACCGTAACGAATGCTAACATGTAGATGCTCTTAAAATAATCCTATAATATATATATAGGTTAACTGACTCTTGGGCCACCCCTCTAAAAACAATCGAGATCATCAAGATGGTATGAGCAAGATGCTGATGTCGCTTCCCTAATTATATTTATATTAAAGGTAAATCAATTTAAAAATTAAAAAGAAAACTTTTAAAATATTCATTTTTTTATTTCAAATGGTTTAAAGTATCTGATTTAATTTCAGAATAACTTAACAATATGCCGAGTTTCAAGCTGGAGAAACGAAAGTTTAAAATTGATAAAATTTAAAATAATTAAAATTTATGAGATAAAATATCAATGAGAAGTGGAAAAGAAAGTTAAAAGATAGTGAAAAATTGATAAACTTACCGAAAAAGATTCTCATTACTGCTAAACTGGAAGGATCACAAGGACGATTTAACAAGCGGGTTATGTTAGAAAATGAGTTCAAATCCGATAAAGTGAATCCAAAATATTTCATCATTTTTTTCCCTCAACCTTCGACCATAAAAAAAAGGGGAATAAAAAAGGAAAAAAAGACGAAACACCTCGGGCACATTTACTTTACCTCCTTCTACTGTTTTTTCCCCGATTCACTCGGATTTATTTGTAGTAATTCGAGTCGAATATAATTACGTCTGGCGCCGATAATCTTTCACGAGATGCGGAGGAGTAACACCATCAAATATATTTATTTTTCTTTAAAAAATATATATAATAAAATTTATTTAAAAAAATAAATTAATTAAATTATTAATAATTTCACTTACCTTTTAAATGTATTACTTTAAAATTAATTTATAAGAGTTTTTTTCTTACCCCGATGGAAATTCAAAAATTGGCTGAACTATCTTAAGGGTGGGCAAGTAATGGCAATTCTTTATTCTGTTTGATCTCGGATGTTGTCGTCATGGTAACAGGTAATCGCCAGGTGTCGCCTACGATCCCATTAAGAGATGTAGGAACGATTGTTTTGCCATTGGATATAATAAGGCATCATCCATCATCCATAACGAACAATAATAAAATGCTACATCTTTTTATTTATTATTTATTTTTTCCTCCCCTCAATTATTTAAAAATCATCCGAAAAAACTTCTCGAGAAACTTTTTTTATATCTTCTTGAATTTCTACGATATTTTTTCGACTTAAATTTTAATAATTTACACCCAAAATATTGAGAAAACGAAGTTAAAACCGGAATTATATTATATATATATATATATATAATCAATTGTATTGGAGCAATTTCAAGAAATATTTTTAATTAGAAAATTCTTAAAATTCTTTAATTTCATTTTAATATATTTCAAATATTGAATAATATCTCCGGGATTAATTGTTTCGGCAATCTAAATATTATAAAATAATTTCATATCGGTTTGTATTAATTAAATTTCATTAAGAAAATTCTTAAAAAAAAATTCATAATTTATTTTATTTGATAAAATAAAAAAAAAAACACAGTTGAATTTTTCTTTTTATTTCTGTGTTTTTCTCGATAGTTGATCCTCTGTTTTCTTGCCAATGGACTTTTCCACCCCATCACATGACCGGTTGGGTGATAAACAAGTAGCCTAGGTTAGCTTGTACATTAATCCCATTTAAGCTTCTTTACTGCGGCTGTTGCATCTAATCTCCTTCTCTATATTTAAATATTTCCACTTTTGTCATCTAATTTTAACAGGTTTTAATTCGAAAATCTACTTTGCAAATTAAAACGTTTGAAGGAGATAATTTTCTATACAAATTCGAAATTTCACGTATTGGATTCTTCTAGTAAATTATACAGGATTAAGATCATCCTGTTAATTTTATACGTAGGAAAAAATAAATAAAAAAGTAAAAAGATTGTCATAAAGTTCTTTGTTTTTTTTTTTATTTAATCTTCGGCCATTAAAATGGAAATTACTTGTTGAAATGGTTGCTATTTTTGATAAGTGATTAAATTGGGTTCATTTGTTTATCTTTAGAAAGAAATTCCAGTTTTAAAAAGTAATCTGGGTTTAAAATCATTCTTAAACTTAAATTTATATAAATTTTTAGGGAATTATATTATAAATTTGCTTTATTTTAGGGAATATATCGTTTAAAAGTTGCAGGATTATATTTTCGAAAGGCCTCTTCCAATTTTATATTAAATATTAAATTCGAGGAAACTCTTCCGAAGAGGCCCTTTAGAAAGTAGTTTGAATGATTCTTAAATAATTTAGAATATTTTTATTAATAATAGAATATATTTTTGCCGAAAAGATTGCCTTAATATCGTTTGCAAAGAGCCTAAACTTTGAGATAACGAAGATTTTTCTTACTACAAACCGAGAGATTCTATTTAAAATTCGTTAAAATATAATCAATTTAAGGAATAACTCAAAATTAAATTTATAAAATAATCAAAGAAAAACTTAAAATTATTAAAATAATTCGAAAAAATTGGTTATTTTGTTTCCTAGCTGCAAGAGTCGATCATACTTTCTTGTTATTCCTTAAATTAAGTTAACCAGAGTCATAGTTTTTGGAAAAGAATTCGAGGAAGACATTGGCCTGATGTATTGTAGAAATATTGCTTACATAAATAAATAACTTGACAATCTCAAACTGAATTAGACTAGTAGACAGGACGTACGCGACTAAAGATGTCACTTCACCCTCTTTGATGACCATTCCGGAACAAAAGAAATAATTTATTGCTAGCAAGCAAAGCCACTAGAATTTCTATAACATATAATCGAAGAACGAGACTAGAATTGAATCTATTCTTCTATCGGTTCCAATTTATTCGAGCCATTGATTAGACTGGTCTAAAGTAGTTCAATGGTTCTATAACACGTCACTGACGTCCCCTAAAGAAAATTTGAAAAAAAAGAAAGAAAAAAAAAACAGCGCTTGCTTACTGTTTTATTACAAATTTTATAATAAAACACTGAGAAAAAATTCCTTTCCCTTTTGAGTTTCCGGTTGCGTCACTATAATAATGGGATAAGATAACGCAACACAAGAACGATCTGCCAAGGGGAGAGTGCCTCTCGGGAGGGCTTTCTATGGGAATTGGCAGCTTTTCAATTGTTAGACACGCGAAGAAAACTCAAAGAAACTACACGAGGTCAGCCAGTTGGTCAGGACCGAACCTGCAACTAGTGTTCAGTGGTTTTATCCATTCGATCTGTGGCAATACCGTAAGAAATTTTCGATACAGCTTGATGAAAATCTCATAAATCTGAGCTAAATTCTTCGTCTAATTTATATGTTTATCAATATATATTTGCGTTATACAGGATTTAATGTTTATTCTATTATCTAGGCTTGTAAATCATTAATAAGCAAGAATAATATTTATAAAATTATGAGTCATTTTTACTTACAAGAACTTGTTTCAATTGCATTTTCTTAGACCTACATTTTTAATTACAAAGTATTGTTTTTTTTCATAATATTCAAGATATTTCTGAAATTTTTCCACATGAAAAAATGTGAAAATTTTGTAATGAAACTCCAAGTTAATTACTTTAAATTAACTTGTAATTTACTATAATATACTCTCTGTTTTTTATTTAATCTATAGAAGATGCTGGTAGAGCTTGAGAGAGATGAAATGGCTGTTTGATTAGTTACAAATATGGTACCTCAATTCTTTTCTAAAGCCATGAACATGTACCAATAAAATAAGTACAGTTTACAAGTTAATTTTTATACATAAAGATGCTGGATTTTAGAGAACAATGATTCCATTGATCTTCTCACTTCTATCTTAATCTGGGGAAGATTCTATGATCATTGGAAAAGTATTACACAAGCACTCCTGTGTAGAAATCAAAAATATTCTCATAAACTGAATTCTTTACAAACAATTTTTCTAGAAATTTTGCCTGGAATTGTTCTTTTGGATATTCAGAGACTTTCCTCCTATAAATTTACTTCTGTATTTTTATAACTTTTTAAAATAGATTTTAAAAAGTTATAATAAAAATATCATGCAACTATATAAATTATATATTCAACTGTATAAATAATAGCTGTGAGTAGATAATTACTGTTTACAAGCGCAACCTTATGTAAATAAAACGGGAAAGTCCCAGTGAAAAAAAAACTTCTTCGTGCCTAATACAAAATAATGATAATAATAAATTATAATAAATATTTATTTAACAGCTAACAAGTAAATTCATCAATTAAACATTGATATTTACTGCGATTTTTAAGATATTTATTTGATCAGAAAATTAATATCCGCAGATTTTCGCTGGCAAATAAAATTGGTCAAGGTTGTGTAATTGCAAATAATCTAATAAATTATCTATAATAATATAATTTTATTACGGTGTCAGACGGTAAACAACGGGATTAAAGGGTAGATAAAATGGGTCACGGAACACCCAGATAAATAATTATAATATTGCCCGAATAGTTTTAAAAATTTCATGTTTCTATTTAAAAATAAATGAAAAAAAAATATCCTAAATAATGTAGAATAAATTGCCAAATTAAAAATATAATAAATTCCTACTTTTTTGTGTTTAAATTTGTATCAAATCTATAAAATTAGACATGTTTAGGGTGGTCCAGAAGTCAGTTTACCACTGTAAAGAATACATTTAACAATTTATTTGAATAAAATATATTGAGAACATTGTTCTGTTTTCAATTTACCATTTGTATTGTACTGTATTGTACCTACACACACACTAAATATGGCTTGTTAACTGACTTTAGAGCCACCCTTTATATATCTTTAATTGCAATTTAATTTTTATCACAAAAAAAACAAATTATATTCGTTTATAAACGAACAAACTTAATGAAATTTATGTCAAAGATTATTTAAAATTATTATGTATGAAGTTATCTTTATATATTGTATTATTATACAATTTAAGAGCCATAATTTAGATTAATATAAATGGATGTTAAAAATATTTTATCACATTTAAGTACATGATTAAGTTTAATTCATTGCATTATGAGATCATTATCATCCTTTTATAGGCCATAAAGGCTTGTTAAGGCCTTTAAGTCCTTTATAAGTTGAAGTTATATTCAGGTTAAATATAATTATTATATTTCAAAAAATTTAATTTTAATAAACTCCAAATAAAAATATATATTATATTATTCATTTTTAAAAATTAATATCTTAAATATTTTGAATTATGTTATTAATTTATAAATTTATTTATTTAAATATTTGAAGTAAAATGCAAAAACTCTGATAACATATAATAGTAACTTTTATTGTCAATCACAGTCATTTGTTTTTGTCATTTTTTTTTCACACACACCAAGGGCAAATAAATACAAGATTATACAAATCTGTGTGGCACAAAATTGGGTAAAGGATGGTTTAAAAAATAATAATAAATCACACACACACATACATACATGTACATATTGAAATTTTTTACACTTTTTTAAAGGAATTTTTCAGTTATCTGAGTGCCATCCAGCACTATTCTTTAACAATGAACTATCCATTAACATATAATACTTTGTGCATCGGTGCTTTAGTGCTCTTCTAGATTTATTGGAGTGAAATATTGTTTTGAGAATACCAATTCTAACCTTCTACTGAAATTTAACTACTTTAAACATCATGTAATTTTTTTTACACCAAAAAATTTATTGCTTCTATAGTATTTTCCAGCTTAATTTTTTATTAATTATTATTATTATTTTCAATTAAACATTACTATGATTGTCAAAAATCCAATTAACTATCACAATATAAGGAAATAGAATCAAAATTTTTTAAATTACAACAATTTTTTTTTCATAAAATTAAACTCATTTTTTTTCTTTTTTACTAATAAAACATCATCATTATCATCATTATTAATTTTTAACATTAACATCTCTCTTAAAGCTTTGAGGATCTAACTATGACACAGATAACTGGAGTGTAAAGATTGGTTCTTGATACATTACAATAATTGGAGATTAAGACACTGTGCAGAATATCACAAAAAAAACAATATTCTGAAGATATATTCATCGCTGTTATCAACATGTGCACCACTTTGTTGTTTTTTTTATAGAAGTAACTGTACAATGGTAAAAATTTAAGTGTACCAAATGTAACCTATAGAAATCATGTACATATCTACAAGTATTTAAACAAATTATAATATTTTTTTTTATTATTATTTTGTACAGTTCTCTTTATATAGAGAGAATTATTCTACAGATTCATAATCTTAGTCATGANTGATAACATATAATAGTAACTTTTATTGTCAATCACAGTCATTTGTTTTTGTCATTTTTTTTTCACACACACCAAGGGCAAATAAATACAAGATTATACAAATCTGTGTGGCACAAAATTGGGTAAAGGATGGTTTAAAAAATAATAATAAATCACACACACACATACATACATGTACATATTGAAATTTTTTACACTTTTTTAAAGGAATTTTTCAGTTATCTGAGTGCCATCCAGCACTATTCTTTAACAATGAACTATCCATTAACATATAATACTTTGTGCATCGGTGCTTTAGTGCTCTTCTAGATTTATTGGAGTGAAATATTGTTTTGAGAATACCAATTCTAACCTTCTACTGAAATTTAACTACTTTAAACATCATGTAATTTTTTTTACACCAAAAAATTTATTGCTTCTATAGTATTTTCCAGCTTAATTTTTTATTAATTATTATTATTATTTTCAATTAAACATTACTATGATTGTCAAAAATCCAATTAACTATCACAATATAAGGAAATAGAATCAAAATTTTTTAAATTACAACAATTTTTTTTTCATAAAATTAAACTCATTTTTTTTCTTTTTTACTAATAAAACATCATCATTATCATCATTATTAATTTTTAACATTAACATCTCTCTTAAAGCTTTGAGGATCTAACTATGACACAGATAACTGGAGTGTAAAGATTGGTTCTTGATACATTACAATAATTGGAGATTAAGACACTGTGCAGAATATCACAAAAAAAACAATATTCTGAAGATATATTCATCGCTGTTATCAACATGTGCACCACTTTGTTGTTTTTTTTATAGAAGTAACTGTACAATGGTAAAAATTTAAGTGTACCAAATGTAACCTATAGAAATCATGTACATATCTACAAGTATTTAAACAAATTATAATATTTTTTTTTATTATTATTTTGTACAGTTCTCTTTATATAGAGAGAATTATTCTACAGATTCATAATCTTAGTCATGAATGTGCTGACAGTTTCGAATGGAACTGGATATTTTACGAGTAAATTTGGTAGCCATCGTGTTTACAAATCCAACTAGAAAAAGCAGATCGGCAATAAAATTAAATATTGTACTAAATACAGAAAAATCTATGTACAATTTTTATAAATCTACTTTTTCGTATGTGTATATATATATATATATATATATTTTTATTTTGAATTTTTGAAAAAACAAAATGAGTAATCGCGAAAAATCACAATAAATTTATTTATGTGATCAGTATTCTTGGCAAAAAAATATGGGCATTCTATACAAATGTACGTGATAAAAGTTAAGATAAATTGTTTTTTTTAAGTGCATCGATTGAATCTTGCATCATTTATTATTATTATTATTATTATTATTATTAATTATTCTTTTAAAATCACAGGTGAACTGTACAAATAAACTTCTTAAAATCTTATTTTTTTAAATATATATATAATCTGCATTTTAAAGATAATACAGCACAACCATTGCTTTATAAGGCATATTCTCTTAAAGATATAATATTTCACGCCTAGAATCGGACATGATGCTTTCTCCAGATATTTATTTATGTATTTATTATTATTTTTTTTTGTAGTGTTGTCGACCACACGAACTCAAACTATTCTGTGATGAGTAATGCCAGAGCAGAGCCTCAACATCTCCATGCTCTAGGGCATTCTTCGTTAACTGGTGACCATCCAGTTAACAAGAAAGAAGCTGATACCAAGAAGTCATCCATTATTTAAGTCACACTTCCCTGCAAGGAAAAAAAAAGCATCTTGTAAATTAAATTATTATAACCTTTTTTTACCTTTTATTTTATATAAAATAACAGTAAATTAAATACACTTATTTAATTACAATTAAGTTTTAATTATCTTTTAACTAGAAAAAAAATTGCGAATGAATTTGCACATAAATGACGTAAATATGTACAAGCGTGACGTAAAAAGTTGGACTAGATGCTAAATCCCCACATATATATATTTATTTATTTACTTAATTCATTATTAATATTTAAAGAAGAAAAATAAATCAATTTTATTTGAAAGAATCTATCGATCTAAGAAGAGACATTTTTAATTCAAACAGAACCCAAACAAATGATAAGATAAGCTTTTGTAATCTTAATAGGATCTGACTAGATACAGCAAAAGACCATTCAAGTATTACGTCAGCGGTTTATGGGGAGATGGATACGTTTGCATCTGGGTCCTGTTCCATAAAAATTACAAGCTACAAGACTTGTAATACTTGCAGCTCGTAGCTTTTAATTCGATACATTTTATAACTTATAACAACTACAAGAGTTTTATGCAACAGGGGCCCTGACAATTGAGGAGGGTGGGCGAGTCTTTGCTGATGTAAGACTGCATCCGTTGTTTATTTTTCTTTCTAGTCATCAAAACATTGTCTGAAAATAATTCATGTGTGTTTGTGAATGGTTTAAACTTCTGGCCGATGACATAATTGAGAGTGGGTGCCTCGATGACGGGGAGGAGGATCTAAAAAAGAAAAGGTTTTTGCTTATTGGGGATCGTTCAAGTATTAATTTGGAAGTTTTATTTCTTATCTGTAACAATCCTACAGACAGATAAGATTAGTGAATACGCCAACGTTATTTTTATTGACATAAAGAAGCATGTTTTCAATTTACGATTTGTCAGATTTGAGCACGAAAAAGAGGAGAACAAAATGATTAATCGGTTATTGTAAGGAAATTAAGCAGAGAAAAAAAGTCGTTTGTACTTATTAATAAGTATTATAACAGGTGTAGTTGTTAACTATAAGCATCAGTCTGTAGTTATATCTACTAATCTATCAGCGATAAGATGTGGAATACAGTAGAACCTCGAAAACTCGGCCTAATGTGGGCCGAAGGGTGGCCGAGTTTGTGAAAATGCCGGGTTATCGGGAATAAGGTTAAAAAAATAAGCACGAGTGTTTCCTCAGAAAATACTGTACTGTACTTGTATGTATTGTTTACTTGAGAATATAACAGAGAATAAACTGCCCAAATACCCTTAAACAAAGGAAAAGTACGTCCTTTATGAAGGCATAGAGCCTTTACTACATGAAAATGAAAATTAATGAATACACTGTGTACAGTAATTTACCTGATAAGACAGACCTCAGAAAAATACTTTATGAGAGCTTTTATACTTTTATAAAGCTGTCTATAATGAAAATTAATTAACTAAGGATTTTTTTGCCCTGCCAGGGTGTGGCCGAGTTATCCGGAGTGCCGGGTTATCGAGAGCCGAGTTTTCGAGGTTCTTCTGTATTTCAAGTACTGTAAACAATTATTTAAACCGAAACCATCGGAAGATAAGAATTTAATATTTATAGTTCAACACACACATTCATAATTATTCACCAATATATTAAGTTTTTATGATGAAATAACAATCTAAACTCATCACACAGAGAACAATAATATACTTTTATTATACTGTAGTTTGAAAAGTTGGTCATTTCTTCTATACTTTATCCGCATCTTACATAAAAAAATGATTAAATTAATAAAAAAAATTTACAGACAAATCTATAATTTACAAATAAAAACTTGGAAAGTCTTCAGTGGGATGTCTTAAAGAATATGATTGAATTTGTTGAGATCCCTTTAGCTGATAACTTATTTCTCATACCGATATCCGCTGTTATGTGCCGCTATATAACATTTTGGCATTTGAACATCGCCTGTTAAACAGTCAAGCTACTTTTATCCTCTCGATAGATTTCCCTTAGGGAAGAAGATGGAGAATCAGGAGAATTTACCCAACCCCTTTCCCAATGGGAAAGGGAATTAAATAGAAATCAATTCGTTATATCCACACACCCGGGGTAGTCACAATACCAATTGGGTTATTGCACCTGCTATCTACTGTCACGGGCGTATTATACAAGACTACAGTATATAATCCACCTGTCACATTTATCAGATCAGTGAAGTACAGCCTAACTTTAATGAGATATAGGATTCTCTTTCTATTATTTAACCGTTCCCAGTTTTGTTTTCAAATATTTATACTTTACTGTAATCTATATTTCACACGCTAAAAATTTTAATATTTTCTATTTATTTATTTATTTATTTAATTCATTATTAATATTTNGCAGAAACATATTAGATGGAACATACCATAAAAGCCATAAAAATATATAAATAAAATTAGATTTTCGCCACTTATCCAAAGAAAATTTAATTAAAATCAGTTTAAAATAATAATATATATATTTTTTTTTACACAAAAAGCTAAATTTTAGGGCCATCTTTCTTCCAAGACCTCTCTATCTAGGCCCCATTGTAAAGCAAGATTTCATCAGTAAAAATTGTTCATGTGTGACTTTAATTTTATAGATTCTGATAATAAAATTAATGCATTACTTTTACAGGAAAAACAATTAAAACAAAAAATTTTTGAGATTTAAAAAGGAAAAAAACAGTTTACACTGTTATGCTCTAATGAGAGCAGACAGTAGCTATGACCTATTTTACTGATTAGAGAACTATAACCAAATTAACTGAATTAATTTGTGATTAAAAGAAAATCTAATTAAAAATTGAAAATCAAAAGTTCAAAATCAATTGCTTAAATTAAAAAGAAAATATAATATAATAATGAAAAAAAAAGTTAATTCTTTTGTATAACATCTCACAAAGTTTTATTGAAAGAGCCACAACAATGATCTAATCCAATTAATTACTAATTTAATAAAAAATTAGTGTTTTCTAAGCTCTAAAGATAAAGCATAAAGATTTAAGAAACTTAATACACTTAAAGATTAAGACACTGTCCACATTAACAATTACAAGTACAAACAGTAGAGAATAATGCAGTCTTATTTTATCTAATTTTAAATAATCAAAAGCATGCTAAGTAATAACTATTATATACATAAAAATTAAAATTAAGAATTAAAGTCGATCAATAAATGTTATTTCATATATGTATGACAAATTTCTAATGCTAAGGTTAAATATTTAAGCTATAATTTTTCAAAAAAAAAAACAAAGGAACATAATAACTGCATGAATGTCACAGTAAAGTATCCATCTGTGAGTATGGTAATAATGGAGTTAAAAATGTTCCAAGTGTACTTTATAAAAAATTTTCATGACCTTAAAATTGAGAATTCTATTAAATTATGCTTTTGCTTAGATAAGAACTGAATGCTTATATATATGAATGGTGTCCTCCACTGGCTGATCCAAAAATCTTTAGAGGAGATTCAGGAAGGAAACAATATATGTATCTTATAAAATACTACTTGAGGTAGCCCGGCTTTGCTCAGGAAAATTATATTTTAAGTTAAAAATGAAAACACACGTGTGAATTTTAAGATTCAAAGTTTTTGGCAAATACAGAGACAAAGTAAAGCTTCCTTATAAACATTATTGGTACTTTCTTACACTTTAATTCAATTTGCACTTTAATTTAATTTGCATTTATGAAAGGCCGAAGACGTACAGTAATATATTAATCGATGAATTAATATTATAGAATCATATGAATATAAATTATCGACCCCAGAAGGGAGGTGTACCTGAGCACCCCCAAATCCACTGTTGGTATCTGCTATTATTTCTACTGCATATTGGCCTTCATACCAGTTACTAAAAGGTACTATTTTCAAGGATGATATTGTTCTGAGTTTATTTTTTCGTCTAACATAAGTCACATTGCTTTTTATCTCAAATTCCATTGTTATGAAATTATAATGATGCAATGTATTACGGAAGACCTAGCAAAAACAATAACAACTATTGAAATTTTGGCCTAATTAAATCTAAAAATGAATGCAGATATAACAAGACAATGGAATGTCAAGGTTTTGGGATTTTGACATTTCGAAGCTTAAGCAATTTGGCATTAGAGGGATCTGCTGTAACATTACTATTAGTTTAATTATATTTGAACAAAAGATTTAATTACAATAAAGAAATTGGTAAATTGTTCTAATACTCATTGATATCATGGTGAAAATTAGTACTTGTTACAAGTATTTTTAAAAGAAAGGAAGAAAAATAAAAACTGATTGGTTTATACTTAATTGCTTGAAGCACTTAAATTATTTTATGTATTTATATTTTAATTGACTCTTAAGTAAAGAAAGTTGCAAAACTCTTCAACCAGCAACTATCTAATCCAAAACACAGGGCCCCTGTGAAGGGGAGGTAAAGATTTTTCATGGAACCCTGAGAAAACTTAGGAGCTCATAGTATCAATAGTTCCTACTCCTATAAANACATACACTGAACAATACATGTTTAACATGCACTCAACAATAAGAATTAACCATCACTTCATCTCTTTTGAGTTTCTGGTGTTACCATATTTCTGTATACCTGTGTCTATGATCTCATCCCTCAACAGAATTTTGTGATTTTTATATTTTTCCAAGTACTGTATATTGTTTCAGAAATGGAATGTGGCGTAAACACACTTGGCTTATACATGCATAAACACAGTAGATTATTCATAATAAAAATTTAATAGTATGTATCCCTACATCTATCTAATTCTGAAGGAGGATTTTTAAGATAAACTCAGTTAAAATCCATTTAATTGCACCATCACACTCAAATTAACCTCCCACCCAGCTTCACTTCCCTCTCAGGCCAACCTTCTGCTCATTTTGTTTACTTGTTCAAAAATTTTGTGACAATTTATCAATTCCCAGTGCTGTTGTTTCTATTTCATTTCATTTGCACACTAAGATGAAATTATAAAATAATTAATTCAAATGGTTTGATTTTACCCTAAAAATTGAAGTTAGATGTTAAAACATATTTTATATTCTGCTAAAAATTGGAGTTTAATCCAAATAGAAGTTAAAAGGCTTCAATCTTTTGAAGCTTCTTTTGAACCTAAGAGAAATGTTGAAGATAAAATGGTTTCACAAAATATCCAATATATAAAAGTACAAATACTATCAGAATCAGTGATGAAATAAAGAAAACAGGATGGAAATAGATAGGCCATGTAATGAGGATGAATGATGACAGGCTACCAAAGCAAGTTCTCAAATGGCTTCCACAAGGCAAAAGGAAGAGAGGAAGGCCAAAAAACACTTAGGAAGACAAGTGAAAATGACAAGGACATGGAATTTGAGCTGGGGAGATATTAAAGAAAGAACCCAAGATAGAAGAAGTTGGAGAGGTTGTTGTGCTGACCTTGTAGTGAGCAACAAAAAAAAAATTACATTTTTTTAAACATTTATGAAATAACTACAGGTAAAAGCTGTTTACCATTAAACATAAGAACATGGTGACAATACATATAGACATAATATTTGATTACATATGATAGAAATTAAATTTTTAATTCCTATCATATGTAACATTATAGAGGAATTAGAAGCTAGACTCTTTAAATTAAATAAAAATTTTATTTTCATCTTGTAATCAATATGAATAAATATAATCACATTCATTTAGTCATTTTAGCTCCAAATGGATATAAATAATTTTAATATTGTAGGAAGAAGAAAATGAAATTAATTACCTGTAAGTTGTAAGATTAAATATATATGAGTAGTTACATTTGAATTTTTTCAGTCACTAGTCAATGCATATAATTCTAAATGTCATTTTTATTATTATTTTTATATACAGTACTATATAAACAGTTTTTGTTCTTGTTATGTTTCAAGAAAATGTGTCTGCATGATATCTTTTAATTAATTCTAAATAATTTAACTATTTTTGACAATCTTAAAAAACTTTCTAATTAGAAAACTAACAGAAAAAAAATCTCTCCTTTCAAACAAAAATTGTTTTATTGGAATAGATAACACATGTAAATCTCTGATTAAAGCCTCAGCATGTTCTTTTTGAACAATTATACTGATTTTAATTTCAGATACTGTTCCTTTTTAGCGGCAATGTCGGGGTTTTGAATGGGACTTAGAAACTGGACATTCTTTATTTTACCTTCACCAAATAGCCCAAATGTCATGTGTACAGACTCATCTTCAGAGGGTAAACTATTAATCATAAAATTAGTATAAGTGAATTTAACATTCCATATTAAAAAATGTTGTAGCTAGTACAACAAATATTAAGAGGACTAAAACAAAAATAATAAATACAAATGAATTTAGAACATCATGTGTTACAATTTAAAGTCATTCTACAATTTGTTCATTCTTAAATTTCCTAATATGGAAGGATCTATCACTCTACTTAAGAAGCTTGAAGCAAAATTAGAAAGTACAAGAAAGCATTACATGATCATATCAAGTCTTAAGAAGACTTTTTAAAGATGGTCAGTAAGATAATGGATTAGAATTTAATATATCTATGTGAGAAATTCTTTGAAATGATTCTGGGAGATAGTAATAGATTTGTAATAAATTGGAATTTAAAGAGATTTGCATAATTTTCCAACCATTTCAGAATAGAACATTAGATAACACATTAGAAAAGTCAATTTCATATAAATGAATTCATTTAATTAATGTTGTGTTCTATATGAAAACAAGAATGACAATTCTATACATAGGAGGACTTTAAGGAATAAAATAAATGATCAGAGACGGCAACGGAAAAGAGAGTTAAAGGCAACAAATAGATAATGTGATAAACTCTAAAAAGATTCCTCATTTTTATATATATAAGTATAGAATCTTTACTGGTTTTATAAAAATAATTGGTAAAGGAAATGGAAAAAATAGATATATTTTAGTTGTGTTTACTTTTTAATTATTTTTCATTTATTATTTATATAAGTTTTCAATGCTTTACATAACTTTCAGAATTAATATGACTATGTCTAAAATGTTCTGAAAATTTGTTTTATTGTGTAAATTTTAATAATTATTAGTTTTAAGATAATGTTTTTAGTACATTTACATCCTTTTCAGAGAATAGAATTTTACAAGAATTATGCTTATAGTTCATAATCTAATTAAAAAATTTGTTTAATTATTCTGAATTCATTCTTCATTTATAAAGGAGCCACATTTACGTCAAAACTATTTATTATTAATAATAAATAAAACTTTCAAATGAAACAAACTGTCTAAAAAGTTTAGAATTTAATGTATTAAATTTGAAACTAGAAAACTGTTTTTTTATAATTGCATATTATATAGTAAAATTTTCTGACCAGTTTAAAAATTTTCAATTTCTTAAAAAATACTTTGAATAATGAAGCTATATATTTCAATTCTATATGGCTTATTAATTTAATAGTTTAATAACATAATTTAATAAATTTAACAGCAATTACCATACTTTAAATTAATTTTATATAATTTATGTAAAATTTAAATTTTATTATAAGTATTAAGATATTAATACTTAATACTTATTATTAAATTATTATCAAATTAAGATATTAAATTATTATTATCAAATTAAGATATTAAATTGATAATATTCAAAATATGTTTTAACTATTTAAAACTAAATTTAAAAATTATAGAACTTACGAAGCTTCCACGCTGCAATTTGTAAGGAGAAACTCTTTCATCCTTCGAAGATCAACTTTGGAAGGTTTATTGTGTGCTAAACAACCACCATTTTCAGCTATTTGTACAGAAGATATCCCATCCCTTACTTCACTCACATCTATCTTGATATTTGACCCAGGAGGACCGACTGTCATCTTTTCTGCAGGATTATTTAATGCTGAGCATGTGCAATGTCCTCCATTCACCATTTCTAACTCTTTTGCATCATCTGCTTGGTCAGTATCTTCTTCAAGAATATCTGAGCCTTCAAAACCCCCATCATAATCCATGCTGCCAGCACTAAGATGAAGAGAAGTATTACTACTAACACCACTGGAACTATGAACTGATTCCATACTCAAACACTGTGATAAATGCTTATTCTTTGTTTTTTCACAGTAAGTACATAGACTACCTGTAGAATGTTGACCATAATTCCAAGATAATCTTTTATGTATACTACTATCTTTTTCTTTTTTGATATTTTCAATAGAATCGGCTGTATGATATCTTCTTTCAGCACGACAAGTCCTTTTATTAATTACTTTACACCTATTTTCATCTTCTGTTTCAATTAAGCGTGGTCTTAGAGATTCAGTATTACTTGCATATAATTTCTCACTTTCAGTATTTTGTCCATTATTTGGCAAATGAACAACAACGCTGGCTGCATTGCTCACATTTTTAGTTTTTAAGAGAGGTGGTTTTGCAATAGCACTGCTACCACGCTGTAAGCTGCCATTATTTGAACTACCTCGAACTGAGTCACAAGTCTTTGGAAGATTTATTACCGTAGGCACCTAGTTTAAACAGAAAATTCATTTTATAAAATGATCAATAATTGTAATTAAAGTGAAAACATTAAATTATACTTCTATTATTCAGTGAGATAAAATCGAAATTAAGCTGTTCGTAAATAAAGTTTTAAAAAGCCATTACTTTATTACAACAATTGGTATTATGATGCAATTCATACACAGTAGAATCCACTTTCACATTCAGCTATACTGATAACATTAAAGACAAGTTCAATAAATAAACTTGTTTTCAGTATCATTTCTTTCAGTGCACAGGAAATAACATAATTTAGCAAAGAATTGCTGAATGAGTTTTGCTTTTCTGTATTTTGAAAGCATGCAATCTGAAAAGATCTTGCTATACTCAAAAAAAAAAAAAAATTATACAACATTGTTTGCATAACATTTTTACTACAGTATTTTCAATTATCTGAGATAATTCATCCAAAAGTAAAGAAAATTTGTACTCTTCATAACAAAGTTGGAAATATGGGAACAGCCATAATGTTGCACTGATAGAGAACTGAGTTAAATGCAGTGTGCTCATTGCTGGGACTGGAAACAACTGGTATTTCTGAATAATGAACATTGGAATTAATTCTTTAAATCTGTACATGCACTGATGCACTCAATAGTTTGTTTACTGAATTCATCTTAAGTGGAGTAAATAAATAAGACTACAATTAATAACAATTCTGATTTTATTGAATCTAACATTAAAAGGACACATTAAAATAATTTTAAAAAATGTATAAATCTAAGGTATATTAATTAATATGTAATACATCCAGTAATGTATTACTGTACCTGATGATATTTTTCAGAACTGTCTTTAACAATAGCTATTATATAATTGAAATAATAAATACTAGCAATTTATGATAAATTATTATAAAGCAAATAACTATTAAAAAGACTAATGTTTAAAGTACTGGTTAAAATAAAAAATGTGCAACTTATCAGTTATTGTTATCAGCCACATATTGAGGATGATAGTCATTTTTAAGCTTTTTTTTTTCATGCTATTTACCTGAAGATAATGATAGCAAAAGTTCTCATAAATATATCTTCACTTATGTATTTTTAGAACATTCTAATTTTGATAACATTAAATAACTGATAACGATATACTGTACATGATTACAATAAGTGGAGCCTACTGTATTTCAAACATAGTCCATTTTGATTTCAATTTTCTATTGTCAGGAAATATAAAGTTAAGGTTTTTGTTGTACAATAGAACTTGTAAAACTTAATTAATTAAATGTAACAATTTATAAGCTGCTGACAACAAATGTTTTAATGACATATATTGATAATTATAAATCCCAATGTAAAAATTACAATTAAAAATTACATTAAAAAAAGTTAGAGATATAATTAAAGATTGCATTTAAACTAAACTTCATATAAAATTAAATAATAATTCACATAATACCAATGGTTGTAGTTAATTATGCAATTTCATACAATCAAAATTAATCAAGATTATAAGGATCTTATGTCAAAATTTTTTACATTTCTTCATTAAATTAACTATAAAGAGTTGATTTAATGAAGAAATGTAATAAGTACAGTAGAGTCTCTGTAATCTGACATATATTGGATCAGTGGGTATTGGATTACAACAGATTGTTGGATTACTGGATTTTGTACATATGCACTGTACCTACTGTACAATAAAAAACAACTTATTTCACAAATTAGTTTATCAAATTAATCATGATTGTGACTGCACGTGCAACAAACAATTAGCAACTGACAGTATACATGTACAGTACATCAGTCTATCTGTCACATCGAGAAGTGGTAACATGAAAATTTCATTTGCACCACTCTACTGAGTATCAGATTACCGAATGTGTCAGAATGGCAAATGACAGATTATAGAGATTCTACTGTAAATGTAATGGTAGTTAATGGAAAGAACCATCTCAATATTATATGTAAAGTATATAGTTTGAAGATCAAAATATACTGTTGTTCTATTTTTGTAGTAACCTAAAAGTACATTAGTTTTTTTGAGATTTTAATAATCAACATTTGTTATAAATTATAGATTAAACTATTTCTAATACATTATTTTAAACCTATGATTATTATAAAGCTATAAGAAAATAGAGTAAGAAAATAGAATAGAAAAGCTTATTGAGAAACTGTTACTTTAAAAAGAAAGGAACTAAGAATTTTCTAATTTGTGGTCATTTCAATTGGTAATAAGTTTACCTGAATTGACGGAGGTGATATGCGATCTGCTGTTTCTCCCATTTGATATGGTGTGCCAACAGATAAAGTATTTGATGCTATATTTCCTCCTGCTCCTCGCAAGAAGAAAGCTCGTCTCTCTGGTCTGGGAGATGTTACAGTCACACTAATTGGACCACTTAACCATGTTTCCATACTTTTGGCACGAATCTGTGATCCATCATCACAGGTTAAACTAGGATTTCTTAATTCTCCTAACTCAATACTAATTGCTTTGGCTTGAGGTTGACCACTCTAATGTAGTGAAAGAGTTAAAGAAGAAAGATTTAGTAGGCAGTTAATTTTTGAAAAGTCAATTAAATATGGTAATTTTAAAAAATATATTTAAAAACTTCTGATTATTGCAACAAAAATTTAAATATATAGTGTTAATATATATATATAGTAATAAAATTATAGTGTTTATAAATATAAACACTATAATTATAAATGATATTTGTATTGTAATATAAATATATTGTTGTGTAGTGTGTAAAATTATTGTTTTTAATAAATGCTTTTAATGAATAAAACTATTTGCAATTAAAATTATATAATGAGAAAATAGTTTAATTTCTTGAAAATTTAAGACAGTTTTATTTTGAAATATTCTACACAAAGTGAAAATAATATTTTAGCACAGCATAATATTGTAAAACCTCTGGTTGCAACTACTTCTTGAAAAATACCATAACTTTCATAAACAGAATTAAACATATGCATTTTTCTTAAAATTAAACTTCTCTAATATTTATAAAACAATATTTTATGGAAAAAGTAATATATTTAAAACCTGTCTCATGATCTTCATATGATATACATTCATAATTATATTACACATGAAGTTTTAATAAGTGTCTTAACTTTTTAATCTTACTTTAAAATTTCAAATATTTATTTGTTTTGATATTTTTAGAAGACTAAAGTTATAATTAAAGGAGTGAATAAAATAAAATTATAGAACTATTAAGGGCTTTACCCACTTATTTCCAATATACTGTATCATGCATGTATAGGCCTGCACTTTTTTTACCCTAAATTTTTTTAACCAAAATTAAGTGTGGCTTATACTCGAGATAAAGTAATTTAATTATACTTGATTTTAAAGTAATTTAAAATTATTCATTATCTGATTGGTTTCAGGAAGCTGCTGCATCATTGAAATTTGCTGCCAAATCATAAACTCGTGTATTGCCATGAAACATCTTACTCAACCATAACTTCACTTAAATTCACTTTTGGGAATTTTCATATTTTGGGCAATCCTTTGGGCTTTGAACTGAATCATTTCAACAGACACAGAAAATCCATTTGCCTGAATTTTACAGATATATCTCAATATAATTGCTTCCAGGTCAGGATATTTTGTTGTCTTTCTGCAAAACAACTGTCAATTTTGTGATGTTTTCTCAAGAGCATCCTTTGAATTAATTGCCACACAGTTATTTTGTCTACATCAAACTTCTTCCTACTTCTCAATTTCCATTTTCTTCTGCCTAATGCAACACTTACAATTTAACTTCTCTCTCACTCGACTCATATTTAACATACACTGAACAATACATGTTTAACATGCACTCAACAATAAGAATTAACCATCACTTCATCTCTTTTGAGTTTCTGGTGTTACCATATTTCTGTATACCTGTGTCTATGATCTCATCCCTCAACAGAATTTTGTGATTTTTATATTTTTCCAAGTACTGTATATTGTTTCAGAAATGGAATGTGGCGTAAACACACTCGGCTTATACATGCATAAACACAGTAGATTATTCATAATAAAAATTTAATAGTATGTATCCCTACATCTATCTAATTCTGAAGGAGGATTTTTAAGATAAACTCAGTTAAAATCCATTTAATTGCACCATCACACTCAAATTAACCTCCCACCCAGCTTCACTTCCCTCTCAGGCCAACCTTCTGCTCATTTTGTTTACTTGTTCAAAAATTTTGTGACAATTTATCAATTCCCAGTGCTGTTGTTTCTATTTCATTTCATTTGCACACTAAGATGAAATTATAAAATAATTAATTCAAATGGTTTGATTTTACCCAATTGTTTTTTCACAGATAAATGTAATATTTTGAAAAGTTTAAAGCATAAAGATATTTAAACTTCTAAATTTAAAAGTTTCAGATTTATTTTGCCCAACTGTTTACAAATTCATATAATTAAAAAATATGTAACATTCTATATGAATTTATAAAAAGCTAAAACTTCATTTCTCAAAGAATTATTCATTAAGATGATTTTTAAAAGATCTTAACAAGTTTAATTATTACAGTTTTAATATGTATCGGCAAAATCATTTCCTTGGGGCTTTATTATGTATTGGCAATTGGGTTTGGAGTATAAAAAATGGCTAACAAAGAAATCTGTAGTCCTTTGTCTGGCCAGTGTCATATAAATCAAATGCAATAAAGACAATTGTAAGGAACCATAGACTTGTTCTATTTGTAGTAATTAAAACATAAGTTTGAGTTTGCAATATTTGAAATTAATGATTAAAAGATAAAACTTTAGTTATGCTGTGAAAACACTATAAAAATAATAAATACATAAGTAAACACTATAAAATGTGTTTAAAATACTTGATATTTATATTGTTTGAAATTATTTAAATATATGCATGTTTAACACAAATAGATACATAATTATTATTGGAAGAATTTTGACTTCAAAATTAAACAAAGTAGAGTAACATAAATCTGAAAATATATATTCATTCAAATTCCTGTTTTATTAATTTATTTTACAGGTTTACAATTTAGGTAATTTTTTCATATTATGTAATAGAATTATAACTTAATTATCATAATTTTATTGTTATTTACATTATTATAAAATGCATTTGTTTAATTAAAAACGTGCTTAAAAGTTGTTATATTATTAAAATGTAATAATAACAATACGTTTACATTCAAGTTCTTTCAATTTGGAGTAAAATTAATAATTGGTCATAACTATATTTAAAGTAATCTAACCTACATTTAGTATGTTTAATATATAATAACTATCAGTTAATCTGGAGTAAAATAAATTGCATCACAGCATCAGTTTTTAATTGACTTTTCAAGATAAAATGAGATATTGAATTATTTTAATAACAGAAAATGCAGAAATTATAATATTAGATAGAGAAAAGTGTAGACAATATTCATATTATTCAGCATGCTATTAAAATAATTATATATTTTTTTATTAAAATCTTTCAAACTTACTGAAGGACTAATAGCTGTTTGAAGATTATTTGATGTATCGTTCATATCTATAGAACCACTGTGTGAATGAACAAGACTGGATCGGCTTGAACTTCGAGGAGAACGAGCAGACAATAAAGCCATTGAAGGAAAATCATAATCTTCTTCTTCAATTGGTTTCAAGAATTCTAATTGTGGTCTCTCAGAAGCAGCTGCTGATTTTGCTTCTTTATATAATTCCTGAAACAAAAATTGATTATTAATATGTAATTTTGCTTTTAATAATAATTTATATACAGGGTGTCTGGGACAGAAACTACCTATAAAAAAGGCTTGTAAGTCTATTCATAATACACTGACAAAAGTGTGTTCAAAGAGAACCTTTTCAAGTTCCTATGAGGGCAACACTTTGGTGCCAGATGGCACTGCTGTTCTCCTGTATAACCGACAGCCAAAATGGCATTCACAAAGCAGCAAAAATTGAAGTTTCATTGTTAGCTTGCAGAATTATGTTTCCTGTGAAAGTCCAAAGAAAATTCCAAGAAAAATACCAACAAGAATCACCAGAGAAGCACACATTAATAGTGTGGCATAAAACACTGTTTGAAACCAGTTTACATGTAAAGAATAATACAGGCAGTAAGAAAGCATCCAAACAAGAAGTCTATGTAATTCATGAAGCATTCCAGAGTAATCCAACTAAGTTGTTTCATTATGCCAATAGGGAACTACAAATAGCAAAGTCAATCATCCATGTTGTCCTTTCAGAAGAGGTTACATAACTCCAGAAATGCTAAAAAACCTGACAAGAAATTGAATATCATTTGGATGTATGTTATGCTACATCAGGTGCGCACACAGAAATTAATTGATTGATTGATTGATTGACTGGACATTTATTGATATCTACAAAAACTTGTCAAGTTCCTTTGCATTTTATCATAGATAGTGTTTTAATATATATACTGTATTCTGGAATTACTTACAAAACTTTCTTATTAGTTTCTGTCAAGAAAAATACCTTGTATAATTTATTATAAATAAATTATATGAATTGTAATGTATAAAATTTCAGCCCACAAATTCATCATATTTATTATAAAAACTAGCTGCAAGAACCTGCTTCGCTGGGTTTTTATTTGTATGTAATATAGTTTTTTTTTTTATATATACTGTATAAAAGACTGTTTTTCTAAGTAATCTAGAATCTAGCTGCAAGGACCCGCTTCGCTGGGCAAAAAGTAACGATAGTGAAGATTTAGATAATTACATTATAGCTAATCTTACCCGTTTTCACAAAATGCAAGAATTAGGTCCCCCGTTTCCAGACTAACTAGAGAATTTTTATGTTTAGTCAAACGAACTATTTTCAACATTTCTGGAACGTTTACAATCGTTCTATAATCGAACCAATATTCGAATTTTATGTTTGAATTTAATTCGAACAAAACATTCAAAATAGAAAGCCACTTTCAACCACTTTCAGCCTCATATATCCTGCACCCTTATAGCTATCGAGAGGCAACCACCCCTATGCATGAATAGAGACTTGGGGCTACTACCACATACAAACACCATTCACGTGCGATGTGCAGTTTTTGCGGAAAAGTGAAATATAGGGACACACACGTCCATATATATATATATAAATTAATTTGTTGTTTTAAGAATTATGAAAATTGATAGTAGAAATGTTTTTATGATTTTTAATGATTTTTACATGAAAAATTTATGAAAATTTGAATTTAAAATTAAATTAAATTCTAAAATTTAATTTTTTTTATTACTTAATTTAATAGTAATTGAAGTAATGGTATAAAATTTTATAAAATTCAATTGAAATAAAAACAAAAAAGATAAGATAATAAAAAATGTGCAATTAGATCATGTGCAATTATGTGTGCAATCATGTGCAATCATGTGCAAAAAATGTGCAATTAAAAAATGTGCAAATTAGAGATCATCAAATATAGGAATAATAAGAAAACAAAATTTTATACAAGTTGAATCCTAGATCTATCTTTAATCAAAATATTTTTAAAATAAACTATGTATGAAAAATTTTATCAATTAAATTTATCATTAGTTTCAAAAATACTGGATATTTATATTGTTTGAAATTATTTAAATATATGCATGTTTAACACAAATAGATACATAATTATTATTGGAAGAATTTTGACTTCAAAATTAAACAAAGTAGAGTAACATAAATCTGAAAATATATATTCATTCAAATTCCTGTTTTATTAATTTATTTTACAGGTTTACAATTTAGGTAATTTTTTCATATTATGTAATAGAATTATAACTTAATTATCATAATTTTATTGTTATTTACATTATTATAAAATGCATTTGTTTAATTAAAAACGTGCTTAAAAGTTGTTATATTATTAAAATGTAATAATAACAATACGTTTACATTCAAGTTCTTTCAATTTGGAGTAAAATTAATAATTGGTCATAACTATATTTAAAGTAATCTAACCTACATTTAGTATGTTTAATATATAATAACTATCAGTTAATCTGGAGTAAAATAAATTGCATCACAGCATCAGTTTTTAATTGACTTTTCAAGATAAAATGAGATATTGAATTATTTTAATAACAGAAAATGCAGAAATTATAATATTAGATAGAGAAAAGTGTAGACAATATTCATATTATTCAGCATGCTATTAAAATAATTATATATTTTTTTATTAAAATCTTTCAAACTTACTGAAGGACTAATAGCTGTTTGAAGATTATTTGATGTATCGTTCATATCTATAGAACCACTGTGTGAATGAACAAGACTGGATCGGCTTGAACTTCGAGGAGAACGAGCAGACAATAAAGCCATTGAAGGAAAATCATAATCTTCTTCTTCAATTGGTTTCAAGAATTCTAATTGTGGTCTCTCAGAAGCAGCTGCTGATTTTGCTTCTTTATATAATTCCTGAAACAAAAATTGATTATTAATATGTAATTTTGCTTTTAATAATAATTTATATACAGGGTGTCTGGGACAGAAACTACCTATAAAAAAGGCTTGTAAGTCTATTCATAATACACTGACAAAAGTGTGTTCAAAGAGAACCTTTTCAAGTTCCTATGAGGGCAACACTTTGGTGCCAGATGGCACTGCTGTTCTCCTGTATAACCGACAGCCAAAATGGCATTCACAAAGCAGCAAAAATTGAAGTTTCATTGTTAGCTTGCAGAATTATGTTTCCTGTGAAAGTCCAAAGAAAATTCCAAGAAAAATACCAACAAGAATCACCAGAGAAGCACACATTAATAGTGTGGCATAAAACACTGTTTGAAACCAGTTTACATGTAAAGAATAATACAGGCAGTAAGAAAGCATCCAAACAAGAAGTCTATGTAATTCATGAAGCATTCCAGAGTAATCCAACTAAGTTGTTTCATTATGCCAATAGGGAACTACAAATAGCAAAGTCAATCATCCATGTTGTCCTTTCAGAAGAGGTTACATAACTCCAGAAATGCTAAAAAACCTGACAAGAAATTGAATATCATTTGGATGTATGTTATGCTACATCAGGTGCGCACACAGAAATTAATTGATTGATTGATTGNCCATTCAATAAGTTAGTATTAAATTTCAACAATAAACTTATCTGGATCATTATTAATCATAATAAAGTTCAAATGTTTTCATTTAAGTTTTGTTTTTAAAACTATTAGTAACTACTATTTTAAAAGAAAATATATTAAAGACTATAAAAAACCTAATACTGTTCAACACGGGCAAAAATGTTAGCACTTCCAAACTTCTCTGCTGGATATTAGGTTTTTTAGTGTCTTTAGTTTAAGCATATCCAGTTTTTGAGTGGTAGAAAGTATATTTTTGTTATTTAATCTTGATTACCATGTTAATCAAATGTAGAAAGGATTTTTTGGAATATCATTATCACAAGTGGTGACTGATTAGCTAAGAATGAATTTACACCTTAATGAAATGATGCTAATAAGGTTTCTGCCTATTTATAATGGATATCAATAAATTGAACATTTATAAGTTGGATCTTGTAATGTGTTCTGAATTATTTATATTTTTAGTTTTTTGCCCTTTGAACACTAAGAAGGCCTTTTAATCATATCCATTGCGGGTTCAGACCAAGGATGCGAACAAGTAGGTGACAAAGGGCAGGTCTGACATATCTGGGATAGGTCAACCCTGAAAAATTACTGGGGTTTTAACTATGTGGATTTAAACCTAGATTGACAGAGTAGTAGGCCATACAGTCATTGCATTGAATGCATTAAGAATACAAGAATTATAATATTAGAATACATGGATTTAGCAATAATATTTTGCAAAAATTATTCAAAGAAATCCAAATATTAATGAGTATTTTCACTTTTGATTCAAAGCAGCTTCAGATCACATTAAAAAAGTTTGAAAACAGAACATTGTGATTTAAAGACACTTTAAATAATAAAAATTCAAAGGACTGATTTTTGATTTTGATTTTTGAATAATTTTAGAAAAAATACCATTCAATAAATTTGAATGATTTCAGTAAAAAGAAAAAGTGCTTTATCACAGTATTCAAACAAAATTTCAATTTTGTTCTGTTTTAAATTGTGTAATTAAATTTAATTTTTGTTATTTTTAAATTATTATTGATAGTGTTTATTTTTTTATAATGTGTTATCATTAATACAATAACATCAAATTACATCAAAATTAAAAAAAATTTGCTAATAGAAAACAGGATTAAAAAATTTATTTGAAAAAATTCCTTGGGAGAATAATCTTTAAAAATGAATTTATTATAATGAACTCTTATACATTAGATATTGAGAATAAACTATAATTTGTTTTATAATGTGTATTATTTTAGCTATACTGGTTATAATTCACTAGCCTTGTTCTAAATTATTCATATTTCTACTATTTAATCTTAAGAAAAAAGCATTAATGAAATATAAACCAAGTGCAATGCTTTGTATCAAAATTTTTGAACCTTTAGAACTAGATTATTTATTTAATATTTCTTAAAATTAAATATTAATAATTTAAACTTACCTGAGCTCTCCGTATATTATCTAACCAATGCTTTGATTCATTGGTATACAATAAGAAGGCTGTAGTAGCAACCTTATACTCATTTAGATATACCACTAATAATCCACTACCATCTTTTAATTCTTGTAAAACTAAACGATCAACAATATATGGCTGACGAATAACTCTTACTTTATCACCTTTCTTTCCAGTTGCTTTACAGATTAAGAGCATATCCGTAAACAGAAAACACTGTACATCAATTTGCTGAAAATTTATAAAAACAATTTTGTTAATATTCTATAAATATTCATAAATTTTCATCAATTCAATTAAGCTTTTAAGACATTGTACAACATATTAAACTCTTAAATTATAGGTCTTAGACTTAAAGAATCTAATTTTCTTACACCAAAGAACACTGATGAAAGTCAACTTAAATAAATTATTTTACTAAAAAGACAATTATTAAATGTTTAAATACTGTTAAAAACTATATTCAGAATAATTCAGAACAAAGTTAACTTCTAATTTTTGTATAAATTTATGATATATTAAAAAATTAATAAAGTAACAAATTACTTAAATATTTTGTTTGGAAATTAGGGAATTTATTGCCTCTTTAATAATAAAATTATTTTAAGTATTATTACAATTATAATTATAGCCAAAACAATCCATCAGAATGGACTAGACATCACATTCCCCTGACAAACAAAACAGAATAATATTATAGGCACATCCATCCCGAACACTAACAACATATACAAAATATCAAAACTTGTAAACTCAGTAAGTACATAGAAATGCATTCAATAAATAAAGCATTTATGGAAAATGAACAATATTCTTTGTGTCTGTCGTCTTCTCTTTCACATAGTATTTATATAATGTAAATGATATAACATCTACAAACAGATGTTAATCACATCTAAATCTATCATACTACAAAAATGTAGTAATATTAAATAATTAGGATTAAATTAAATAATTATCTCAAAAAACTAATTGGTAGAGAGATACGAGGCTAACCAAACTGTAATGGAGCACAAGTAATTGAGATCACATCAAGAAAATAAGATAATTATTTAATTTATTAGAGGCAAGAAGCTTACAACTACATAATAAGGAATTTTTTAAAACTATTAAAGTATCCAAAAATGATAAAAATTGTTTTTTGTTTTATGTTAACTTTGGTCCAGCACAACACTTTGATACTGTCACAATCAAATATTGCATGTACCATAACCAGAACCAATAACCAGTGGTGTATTGTAGACAGAACCCAATGGAACACAGTTCTAGTACTTGTTTCCAGATTTGGAATGCATCCCAGAACTTACATTTGCTTTTGTACATAAGCAGTAAGAAAGTATATAAATAAATATGTAAAATTGAAATGCCCTTTTTATAAAAACCAAAGATTCTTTCCAAATACATTTTCAATTTCTAAGTATTCATCTACACAATCAGAACTGTGAATTTTGATTTTCAAGTATATTGCACACTAGAGCAAAGTAAGCAATGTAAGCAAAAAAATTGAATTACATTTGTGCTGTTACTGATATTAATTCATCACATGCTCATGTTATCATATTTGTACTTATGTAGGACTGTAGCATTTAATTATGATTATTATCAACAAATATTTATATTTTAATTTATATTAAAATAAGTATAAAACTTGAAAAATTGTGATTCTATTATGAAGAAATTTCTTTAGTAAACTGACAATTCTCAATTTTGTCTTAATACATAAATTAAAATTTAAATTATTACTTATATGTGAATAAATAGTGGAAAACAAACTGTAAAAAAAGTGTGCATGTGGATGAAAAAGTAAAATTTTGGTATCATTTGTTGTTTAGTTTTATTGTTTTTATAAAGTTAAAAGCATTTAACTATATAGAAACATTTAGTTAATGTTTTTATTTATCCATAACATTTTATAAATTCAAATGAAGTATAGTAAAATCTTTTCAAAGCTGAACCTTAAAAAAACAGAAACCTGCTTCAATGGAAAAAATATTGGGTATCATATGAATTTATTTTACACCAGGTTTCACTGTATACTCTTTTTCATCATAATATTAGAAAGATAATCTTTCTTGTCAATTAAAATTTAACATATAATAATTAAATAAAATACTTACTTTGCTTGAAGGCGGATCTTTTAATTTGAAACCAGTGCCTTCTAAAAGTAATTGCCTGCTTTGTTGGTTTCCACAGCCAGGCATTTGACATGTCAGATCAAGAAAACAATTATCTTTTATGATCTAAATAAAAATATTTTATTTGAAAAAAATTGCTTATGTAATCATGTAATGTAAAAAACATCATAAAATATTTCAGGCTACTGATACTTAACATGTGACTAGATTAAATGTTTTAGATTATATTATCTACTAATACTGTATACTTATTTTCATAAATTTAAGCAGGTAAAATATAGAAAAATCAAAATAGTATAGAAACAGAAAACTACATTGCAAACATTACATTACAAATTTACTAATAATTATAAACTTGTAAGAAACAAATGATTAGGTCCTAAAATCATCATTCATTTCAGTTATAATCCATCTATGAATTTCCAAAATCAAAAAACTAAAGTTATATATGTGAAAAAGTTATTTTAATCTAAATTACTTTTTGCAGAAAACTTAACTATCTTCATTTAATTATCATTTATAATTATGAGTTATAATAAAATTTATCAATATAAAGCATTTCAGGAGAACATATTTTCAACTTTATTGATTAATCTCCGTAAAATTATTCCATGGAGAAATAATAATTTTCCTTCATAGAATAATTACAAATGTAAAGATGATAATCATTTTAAAAAATACTAAAAATGGAGTAATTTACAAAAATATATTAGATTATAGTTATAGAAGTGACAAATTATTTATTAATGTAATTTTAATAGTTTAAAAATTATTATATTATTGTACATTACATGGAAATATGTTTAAATTAAACAATATCTAATTTATAAGTATATACACATGTAGTACATAGACGTATACATAAGTAAAACAAATTTTTAATTTAAACAATTATCTTTTTCTACATCAGTGAATAATACAATTCTGCAATGATTTAATATTCAATAAATAATATAGTCTTTATCAATTCAAATAATTGGAATGTAATTTTGAACACATTATGTATTATAATCTTAATTTAAAAAATGCTCATTGTTATTACTTAAAATAATAAAGAATGTCTTCACTTTATAAATGAAAGACTGAGCAAAACAGTGGTCTAACTCTTTTTTTTTTTTTTTAAAGCTCAGATACTGTACTGTAAAAGTAATATACACTAGTTTTTCATATTTTGCAGTTATACTTGTTTCCATCAATTTATTTTAAATGGAACCCTAGTAATCTTTCATTGTCTTTAGAGACATTATATTTAATACATGAAAATACAGTTAATTTTAACACAGAAGTGTTAGATCACTGTTACACTCAGCCTTTCAAATATTTTAGCAAGTGATGATATCACAAGATTAAAAGTGCTAACAAGCATTTAAGGAGCTACTTTATTAGTGGTTTGGTCTTGTTATCTAAGGAGCAAGAGCACCTACTAGCTCCTACTAAAGCAAATAATGATAAAATTTTTGCCTTTTCTTTCTGTTTATGAATTAAAATTCTGTTCAGTAATTAATTTCTAATATTTTTAAAATAATCTTAAACAAGGAAAATTAATTAAAGAAATGCTTAATTTTAATATAAACATTAAATTTATTATGTATATATGTATATAGGCTGCATGAGTAACAACTCTAGCATTTTTACTATAAAAATTGAAATAAATCAAAACAAATGCTAATTTTAAATAAGCATTACAAAGTTAGCAAGAGTAACATATTAAATCAATTTTGGTAATTCAAATACTGACACAATTTGAAAAGAAAACTTTAGTAAACTCCTGTGTAATTTTATTATACTGTATATAACAGAAGTTTTATTTATTGATTTTTAGTATGTATATCTATCAGTTTCTTACACATAAATGTAAAATCGTATGAACTTAATAACAATATATTTACAATGGATTTAATTTTGTAAAATTAGAATTAATATAATTGAAGACGTGAGTGGTTGAAAGGTGTTATGTTACAATGCAGGACAATTCAGTTGTTTGAAGCTTGACTGTCCTGCATAGATGAAGGTGTAATGTATCAGTATTCATATACCATCATCAAAGATCTTGGAAATTAAACACTTTAATACTCTGTGACACTAATTTGTGGATGTATTTACACTGAAATAATTATATAATAAAACTTTGATTTTGTAACATAACACCATCCATTGATGTATTCAATTGTACTGATTATCAAATTTTTGCTAATTAAAATTTATTTTAAATAATTAAAGATTATTATTAATTGAAAATAAAATATACAACATTTCATTATTTCAATAAAATTATTTGATAAAAATTAAACAGCTGTTGTCAAGTTCCTTATTGAAGAGTGCAATCTATGATTGAGAACAGTCCACCATTAAACAGTATTGTTCTTCTATCTCCTTTTATCAATAACATCTTGCTTTTGATTGCAATTTTGATTGTTTGTTTTGTTTAATTTTACTTTCTTGTCTCTGAGAAATTACCTGCATGTTTCAAATACTTTATTTTCTTATTCTAAAGTAATAGTTTTTGTCTTTATCACTCGCAACAGTTACAGAAAAGGATACACACTACCTATATTATTAATCAGCAGAGCTGTAGTAATGTTTTCAGTGTCCTTGGCAAATATCTAAACTGGTGTCCCTATTTAACTTATTTTATTTTAAGTAGTAGAATGTATTGTAAGAAATAATTTTATTATAAGTAAGAATTTATTATAGAAAAACAAAATGTAACTTCAAAATAAAATATTCAATATGTACAGGGTGGGTCTGAATTATGTACCTAAAACTCTGATGTCCATATATAGATGGAGTCATAATTTTTAAAATAACTATTCATAAGAATACTAGCCATTGTACACATAACCTATGTACAGTACAGTACTGTGCTTGTAATATATGCAACTGATTAATATATCAATATAAATGCTGCTGCCAAATTTCCTAAGTTTATTGAATTAAAATATTATTGCTCAATCTAACTCTGAAAGTCAGAAATGTAGGTAGATTATTCAAGGCCATCCTATATTGTTCTATTTATGTGCACTGATGGAAAATTGCAGGGAGGTATTGAGGTAGCACAAATTATGGCAAAGGTTGCCTGATATTTTTAGTTCACAATGCATAAATGTTTGCGAGGCATGAGGGGCACTTGGCACCCCTCATGCCTCCCAACCTTTGGCACTTCCCTCGTTACACAAGGAAATTAAATTTAGGAAGTCATTTAGGGTGTAATTGTGCAACAGTTGATGATAATTCTATCATTGAGTTTAAAACCTTATTTATTGAATATTTTCAACTTTTTATAATAAGATTGTTATAAATGTCCTCCATTGCACAGTTTGTACATCCTCTGTTTTTGTACAAGAATGTTAACAACTCTAGTGTAATCACTACAGTAGATCAATAAATTTCACTATAATTATAAAATATTCTAAATTTTTAAATAAAATTATATATCATGTATAAAAATAAAGCCAAATATCAACTTACTTTTTCAAGTTCATCATTATTACTTTCAATGGAGAGTTTATAACTTTCTATGCGACCAATTATAGATGCTAATCGTTCCTGTTCATGACGTTGACGAAGTGTGGCATCAACTCCACAAACAAAGTTTTCAACACATTCATTCTAAATAGGATTTTTTTAAAATTTCATAATAAACTCACAATATAAAGTGCAATAAAAGCTCCAAAATACAAAAATATTTCTTACCATTTCTAAGAGGGCAGATTTATGTTCTTCGTTATCTGTCTTTTTATGAATAACTTTCAGTAATAAAGAATATTTTGTTAACCTTTGCATTGGTTTCACCAAAAGATCTACAAGCCGTAAGCGTTCACAATCCTTCTGTGTTTCGCACCACTAAAACAAATAAATTATAAAATATTTATTTAAAATGCTTAAAAATTGTAGTAATTTTAAGAAAATATAAATATTTAAATTTTAAAAAATAATTTTAATAAAAAATAATGGTCCAAATTTTAAGGCTATATATATATATATATATAGCCTACACTTCAGAACCTGATGATTACATGATTACTAGGTAAACAAGTTATATATTCCCATATTAAAAATCAACTAAGAACTGAAATGACAACATCTTAGGCTGTATACATAAAATTTTAAAAATTAAAAGTCTATATTAGGAATTACAATCTTAATTGTTTTGTATATATTAGAATAAAATTCATTTTGGGATTTAATCAAATGACTTACATAACTACATTAACCAAAACAAATACAAAAACAGAGTAAATGATAAAGTCATTATTTTATTTAGCAGAAAAATTTTCAAAATTTTCTTAGTTTGACATCCTTTTCTTTGGATTCTTTCCTAAAGAAATAAAAAAAAAAGAGGGCCCTCTTACTGTTAACAGACACAGTAAGAGAGCCTTTTTAATCATACTCATCATGGGTTCAGCAGGCCCCCCAATGGGGATGACCAAGTGGCAAAGGACAATGCCCAACATCCAGGACAAACCACCCCTAAAAATTCCTAGATGGTCCACCCAGATTCAATCCCTAAAGTTTAGCATTCACCATCTCAACCTCCAACAGTCCAGCTATAAACTAAAAAAACCTCCAAACCCAAAAAATTATTTTTAAAATTTTAAAACTTTCAGAATTCAAGTTGATGCATGGCGTAGCGAGAGGGGAGCCTGGGTGGGCACGGCCCTCCCCAGTGAACCTGGTGCCCCCCCAGAAAATCACAGCCGAAAAAGTGTTAAGCCGATTTGGAAACAACAAAAAACTTAAAGCTAAAAATTTCGAATGCTAATAAAAAAAGGGGGTCCACTGTGCCCAATGTTATGAATAATTTGAAATAATTCAATTTAGTGTTAGGTTGGCCTCTACTAGGCCCCCCCACAACAAAACTCTGGCTACGCCCATGAGTTGATGTTATACTTGTTATTGTTAAATAAACACTAATGTTTTCTATCATTTATTCTGTCTGATTTTTGTTTAAACTTTGACTAAAATGCTATTAAAAATGTCTAGGTAAATATTAAAATAAAATTTTGTCAGGAATAAAATTTATTAATACACTAAGAATTATTACTCTAGCTAAATAGAGTTATTTGTATGTAGATTCAAAAATAATACATCTAATTTAAAGAAATAAAATATATAAATAAGGGCTATCATTGTTTAATTATTTGATATCCAACTTCAATGCATAAAGCAAGAAAAAAAAACTGCAGAAAACAATGTAGTTTCTATGGATCGTCATCAAACGAATCCATTCTTCATCTATCGCCGTAGCAACTGAAGCACTTTCCGAATTTCTTTACTAATGAGATTAAGAGAAACAAACTTAGTCTATTCATGTTACCATTGATTAAGTGCAATCATGCTAATAACATCAAACATTGTTTGGATAGTAATCAATTAATCAGAATGAATGGGATGATTAGTTTAGTTACACATTATTAATTATTATTTTTTATTCCCAAAATTAAATGTAAATCATTTTATTATTATTAATCTAATGCATTTGTTTATTCTGTGGAATAAAACAAACAATAAAACTATAATGAAATCCAATGTTTATTGTATAATGCTGTGACAGCTGGATGGACAAAGCATTAAATGTGTCTGCCTGTTGTCCTGAGGGATGTAGATTGAAGTTTGGGTCAAATTCTCATAAATTTTCTTGGATAATTTGATCCAGATATATCTAGCTCTAATGATGTAGCCAAGTGATGAAGGACTGGCTCTACATTATTATGGGTCTGGTCTATTTATGAAATTTCCTGAATAGAAATCGAGACTAATTCATTAAACAAATCGTTTTAAAATATTAATTACAATAAAAATTGTTTAAAATCAAGACAAGATCATAATCTCAGCTAGAAAGTAAATAANTAAAAAAATACACAGTTTGTTTAATACCATCAGAAATTTATTAACAATTAGATTATTGGAAACTGTCTTCATGAACTTGATATACAGAATTTAAAGATGCAACATGGTAAATTTTTGCAATTAGAATATTTGAATTAAAATATGAATTACAAATAATTTTCTAAATTTAAAATATATAAACAGTTCAAATTACAAAGATTGATAAAGATAAATGTTTGAGTCCAAACTATCCTAACATCATAGAAAAACATTTAACAGTAGTTGTACATATGTACGTATTAGGACCTATATATAGAATAGTATTGAGTTGGGAATTTTTCCATTAAAATGACTCATTAAATTAATCATATAATTTTTTTTTTTATTTACTAACATTTCATATGTCTATTAAACCATAACTCAATGAAATTTATTAAATTCTTATGAAATAGATAATTTTCTATTGAACATTTCATATACATTCAATTGCTCAGTCTTGCTTATTATCTATTAATTTCATAATATTTGCCAAGTGATGAGGGACTGGCTCTACATTATTATGGGTCTGGTCTATTTATGAAATTTCCTGAATAGAAATCGAGACTAATTCATTAAACAAATCGTTTTAAAATATTAATTACAATAAAAATTGTTTAAAATCAAGACAAGATCATAATCTCAGCTAGAAAGTAAATAACTTAATTAGTTTTAGTTTTCATTCAAAAGATGGCAGCACCTTACCAACTTACAACTAAATTTACTGTGTACACCTATTTAACTTATTTTATTTTAAGTAGTAGAATGTATTGTAAGAAATAATTTTATTATAAGTAAGAATTTATTATAGAAAAACAAAATGTAACTTCAAAATAAAATATTCAATATGTACAGGGTGGGTCTGAATTATGTACCTAAAACTCTGATGTCCANCATCCAATATAAACATTAATAATTAGAAATTAATTTTGAATTTAATTAAATGATTTAGAAAATTCTGAGAAAAGATCAATGGAAAACAGGACTTGGAACCTACAACTTCAAACCAGACTGGCATGTTACCAGTTAAGATATTTGAATGTAATGTTTAATTTATGAATAATTAGAAAAGATAAATCAGAAATGAAAATGAAACTGTATACTTTCAAAACACTTTCTCACAATTAAATAAAACTGGATTCCTGATATTTGCATATTACTATCATTTTTTAAACAACAATCTGTCAATTGATATGCAACTTAATACAAATAAATAATAACAGGTGGAAAAAATTTAATAATTCTTAAAAATATTGATTGTTACTATTGTATGCCTGCAAATAAAAATGAAGCTATCAAAAATAAAAAAATACAATTAGAACTGTATATGCAGTTTTTTCCTGTTTTGTTTCAATTAATAACAATAAACAATCATTTTTATTCTTATTAGTTTTTTTTTTATAAATAATTGATATTTTAATAATTAATATATATACATATACAGTAAAGATTGTTATAAATGTCCTCCATTGC